CGGCCACCCATTCTTTCTAAACACCTTTTGTATCCTTGAATCATCCTCTTCTTTCTTTTCTCTTGTCCAATCATGATGACATATATTGTTGATGGTTGTCAAAAATTGAACAAGTAAAAAAAACCAAATGAAAGCAAAAAAGAAAAAGAAAACAAAAAAAAAGAAGAGAGCCCCAAGATGGTTCAACACACTAAATGACTAATATAATTAATACCGCACATCAATCAACTGGAGCGATATATTTTGTGGGAATGAGAAAAGGAAAGACACTTTCTAAAATTAAAATCAAAATATGCATTGCACGCATCCAAAAGCATTTCACACACTTAGAAAACTTTCTTTATCCAAGGGGGATTATTCAAAAAAATATCTGCATAAATAAGCATTCAGCATTTTTGCGTCCTAACAAGAAAAGCCAAAAAAAAAAGGAAATACAAGTTCTAATTGACATCCTTTGAACAAAAGGAAAAAGCATCCCAAACTAGGGGCATTAGCAACACCAAGCCCAAACATCACACGGAAAGGGATAGGATTCCAAGCCACAATCCCTCTCAAACAAAACATCCTTCTTGCTCGACATATCAAGGGCACAATTCATCAAGTCTGAAGTAGTCCACTAACAAACTCTTCAATCGAAGAAAAGATAGGATCACAAGCCATGATCCTCTAGAAAACCCCTTCGTCCACCAACATCAAGGGTATTTCTGACCAAACACATGCAAGCAATTAGGTTCAAGCATCAACCTATGACCTAGCGAGGCTACAAAGAATACTCACCACACCATCTCGCAAGAAAGCTGACCTATCGCCCATCAGCACAAGGGCATTACCTATAAGCGATGTACGTCTTCATCAAAGAAATGAGGCAATCAGACAACCAAACTTGACAAGATCCCAAGGAATCCATATCAACACACTGGTATTTAAGATGTCACTTCAATAGGCGACACTCCGGCAACACATCCATACTGAACCCACACCAAATGATCAACAATCATCAATTAGGAAAGCCTAACAATCAGATCACATAAATCATAGCAAAAGTCTAGAGAGACGGTACTCACCTCCTAATTCGGTATACGATAAAGCTGTAAGGAAAAAATCTAGGAAGATGGGAAAAGTCTGGAGAGACGGTACTCACCTCCCGATCCGGTACACGACAAAGCCACAAGGCAAAAGTCTGGAGAGATAGTACTCACCTCTCGATCCGGTATATGAGAAAGCCGTAAAGAAAAAGTCTGGAGTCACAGTACTCACCTCCCAATCTAGTATACGATAAAGCCATAAGGAAAAGTTTGGAGAAATGATACTCACCTCCTGATCTGGTACATGACAAAGCTATAAAGGAGAAGTCTAGATAGATAGTACTCAACAAAATCACCATGGGCCAGCTGAAGCTCTAAATATCAATCCAGCCTAGAGAGACTGAGCTTAGAACATACTCCCTTTTCAACGAGCAACAAATAAAAGATCACACTACTATGAGACAAGCAGAAATAATAGGAAGCATCTACATCAAGCCAGAAGCCTAGATGGCGTAGTTTACCACCCTTACACCCAATGGAGCATACAACCAAACACTCAGTCACTCCAAAGGGCCAGGATACATGTAGACACCATCTACCTGACAGAAATGATATGGAAATATCCACACTATTAAAGCAAAAGAAGATTCAGATGAAGCAATAGAAGAGATTATAGAAAACATTCACACGGAAAGCCTAGATGGTGTAGTTTATCATCCTTGGCACCCAACAAAGCATACAACCCAACACTCAATTGCTCCAAGGGGCAAGGATACAAGTAAGCACCGTCTACCCAAAGGAAACAACATGGAGGCATGTACTCAAAGATAGAAGATCAGGTATACAGTTTGCCACCCTTGTTACCCAAGGAAGTACGCAATCTAACACACAACTACTCCGAAAGAAAAAGGTACAGGTAAACTCACATATTCGAAGGAAACGACGTGAAGCGCCAACACGAAGTGTCAGAGAGAAAACCTGGATGAAATGTCTAGGTCTTTACTTGCCTTTGGAAAAGCAAACACCTAGTTATCCCAAAGGACAAGTAAAGAGGGGCATCTGTAGATACCTAATTTCATCCAGACCCATAAGCAAAGAAGTGGACATCGAGCATTAAGGAAATAAGTTCCCAAAAGCCCAGAAACGACACAATATGACATCGGAAGGCCAAAAAAACCAATAAAGGTGATTTAGTAGTCCGGAACGAGCCATTCCTGTTAAGTCATGCGAAGACGAAGCAATTCCAAATGAGTTTTTGAATGAGACAAATATAATACATATTGTTATTTCTAACAAGTGGGTTAGTGTTTCAGAAATAACATAAGTACATGCAAGTTGTGATGAATGGAACAAGAGTCACTTCATACAATGAAAAAGAAGGCATCAGACTGAAAGGCCAAAAATAAGACCATAGACGAAGCCAAACCAAACATAGGAAGAAAAATTGATCCCAAGGAAGTCAAGTATCAGACGAAGATGTGTCAAGGACAACCTCCAGTGCAACATAAGATGAAGGACAACACAGACTGAAAGATACTTCAGACAAAAACAAAGTTTGTTTATTTACATTGCTAATCAGATCGAAAGAAAAGTCAGAGCATTAAACTCAAATGCTCAGACAAAGATCATGACTTGAGATATACATGGACTAACAGACACAGACGAAGACTTCATGCAAGCACTTGGAAAATCAGACCTTGAAAATAATTCGAATGTCATCTACAGTCATAGAAGAGCACATGAAGTCATCGAGATTGTGAGAAAAGAAAAAGAAAAAACAAAAGCAAGAACAAATATCAAAGCATGCGTGTGTCAGAAAAAGTATACCTACTTTTTAGAAAAAGACAATGCCTCTGCAGCTACACTGACAGAAAACAAACATAAATTCCTAGACCACTGCTAAAGTTAGAAATACCAGCTAACAAAACGAAGAAGGTCTCATGCAATGTCTATAAACGAGAAGCAACATTTAATGCAAGATCTTGAGCATTGAATGAAAGATCAAACTAGTCATGAACGAGTATATCTATTTAAACGGACACTTGCAACGAGCAAATTTTACAAGGCTATATATATGTCACAACTTCGAACCTGAAGAGGTTGGCTTTTTAGAGAAGATATACGAAGAGTGATAAGAAGCCCATGAAGCAACGAAACCAGAGATAGAGTGTAAAGAGTCAAATGTACCATAGTGTATTCATCTTCGTAAACTAAGGAGTTTCAAACATGTGCATCCTAGGAACAAAACCTTAGTGAGTGTATTTATTTATGTATCCTCTCTATGAGAGTAAGTCAAACACTCAATCATTTTAAAGACTAAGGTTGCATACCTTAGTGAGTGTATATTTCTTTGTATCCTCTCTATGAGAGTAACCCATACACTCAAACCAAATCTGCTTAGTCATCATATGTAATTAACTTTATGTTATTACTTTGAGATTGGAGAGACTTGACTGTAAAAAAATACTTAGTTGTTCGAGCTTGAAGAAACTTGATTATAAAAAAATATTTGGTTGTTGAAACCTAAAGAGGCTTTATGTTAAAAGAATACTTAGTTGTTAAAGCCGAGAGAGACTTTGTATTGAAATAATACTTAGATAGTTGCTTGAAGAAGCAAGTTAAGAAATACTTAAGTTTAAGTTATAAGTAACTTGAGAAAAGAATACTTATATCTTTGCACAAGATAGTCAAACTTGATCTGGTTGAATTAAGAACTGAGCATAGTCTTGGTGGTTGAGACAAACCGGTATAAAAATATCTTGTGTTTAGTTTCTTTACTCTTCATCTGTACTTCTTCATAAAGTTATTACTTCATTATTTTTGAAAAGTATGAATTTTTGGTTGACACTATTCAACTCTCCTCTTCTAATGTCTCTTTTTTTTATCTACAATTTTTAGTTTAGTCATCTTAAAGTTTTGTTGTTTTCATTTTGGTCATCTCAAATTTAATTATTTTTGTTTTGTTCCCTTTCTATTTTGGTCCTTAATATTTTATGATTTTTCTATTTTAGTCTATATACTTTTTTTAAAACTTTTTTTCATTAGATTAACGGTCAATCTAATGACAAGAACAAAAATGAAATAAATAATTTTACAAGATTGAAAATAATTTTTTTAAAAGACTAAAAGTAAAATTTCTCTATTTTAAATGAGCTTAAAAGTTATTTAAGCCTAAAACTAAATAAAGAAAAAAAATTCAAAGAATTCATATATAGTCACAAAGTCTTATGATTTGTGAAATTTAGCCTATCATTCTCAAGTGAGTGTATCATAAAGATTTGCATATAGATATACTATCTTCAAATCTTGAACAATGTAAATTCTTTAAAGTAAAAATTAAATTGATTTCTTTTTTTATCTTACAAAAATAAAATAAATATTTTCAAAATAAATTATCTTTTTTCTCAAATTTCTTTTAATGGTAATATATATACCTAAATTTTTTCAAACTAGAAAAATGAATAAATTTTAGTTTTAATCTCTAAATAATATTCATTATTTTTCAACTTTCTAAAATTAAAAATTATTATTTATAGTTCCTACTATTATATAATCATTTTTAACTACTAATTTATTTATTAAAAGTGTGATACTATATAAATGTGTAACACTTTTAGTGTTTTTCTTTTTATAAATCTTTAAAACATGTTATATATCTATTTTAAAACGATCAATAGAGACAAAAATTAACGACTTTAAATTTTAGAAAAATAAAAAATAAAAATATTTTACAAAATTAAAATTAAAATTTACTCATTTTAAAAAAAAATAATAATAATGTTTACAATATGTAGATAGATGAAAAACAGATTTTTTATATATATAAAATCTAAAATTAAACTCACTTATTTTGTTTTCAATATAACCTAGAGTATAATTTATTTTGTTTTCTCTAAAAACTCACTTATTTTGCACGCTCATACATAACTATATTGTTATTCTCTAAGAAAACAAAATCTTTTTAAAATGTTTTCAATTAATTTTCGCCGATCCATTGCAAATGTTCAATGCTGATCATCACAACAAAAGTCATACAACTAGAGGGTGGGGTGGTGATTGGTGAATAATGTGAAATCAACCAGTAATTTCTTGAGAAAAGTAACCCAAGTAGTTTTACCGTTTTACTTATAAGCACCTATGCCACATACCAAAAGCTTTTTTTTTTCCTTTGATCTAGCTATAGATAGGTATGCAGTTCAGAAGACAAAAGTAGTAAGTATTAAGTAACCTAGCTAACTAAGATAGTTATATACAATCATCCTTCACGCCATTCCCCTCTTGCGTTTAAGAATTTTCCATTGCTTCAACAGAAATTGTGCTCCTTCTTTCAGGGTTGCTCTCCTTCCCTCTTTGTAGTTCCATAATACTGAGGTTAAGTATCGCCCACTAGGATTGTGTTCATTTATCTCTAACAATGCTTGTACCACTGCTTTATATGCCCCTTCACCCAAGTCATTTTTCAACCCATTCAGCTTTTCATCGTCATCTCTAATGATTTCCTGAAATGAAAAATGCATGAAGCCAGATGACAGTCTGAAAGTTCACAGAATAAATTAGACCAAAATTTAATATAATTGTAGAATAATATTTAAAATGAATTAAAAACCCTTGTATACATCAAATTGGCTAATTTAGAATGATATTTGTCCTAAAAAAGTAGAAGAATTAAAGGTGTACTGCTGTTCCTGGTTAAAAGTTAAAAAAAGTAAACAAAAAAAAAAAAAAACGCTAGTGATATACTCTACTACATTGTTTCTAACACGCTACATAATTTGTGAAATTTAAGTGAGGCCCACTAAATCAAGCGAGTCCTATCCCCTATTGAATTACTCCCAGTTTTTATTATTTAATGGAACTCACATGAATTTTCACCCAATACCGAAGAGTATATCAGAAAGATTGTGTTATAAAGGAACTAAGGAAGTGTAATTCAATCACATCATGACATAGGAACCAGAAAATTGATATAAAGAAATATGAGGCTGTTTCGGATACAAACTTATAAGTGTTTTTTATAACTTCTTTATTGAAAATAACTTTTTATTTTAAGTAAAGAATCGCTCAAAAATACTTCTACTTCGTATTCAAATAAGCTCTATGTATGGAATTATGGAAACCTCGTACGGATCCGTTCATACAATTCCAAAGACTGATTACTAACTTGCAATATGAAAACACAAGAATTACCAAGAGAATGCAGAAAAAGAAATAATACGAACAGAACAACTCCCGCAAGCCAGGCTTGCCCAACCTTCTCCCAATATTTCCTCCTCCCCCACGTTCTCTTCTATACCCTATTCATAACCATCTCCGTCATTCACCAAAATGATTATTACCTGGACTGACACCTGTCCCTCTTCTCAGATACAACTTAGTTATGGGCCTATCAGATATCAGAATTAACTGTCTTGAATATAGGCCAAACTGATCAGAGATCCGGAAGTTTCCAAAATATTAAAGGAGCAATTAATTTTAAGGTGGCATCCTGATTTTTCAAGTATCTCAGGATGTGTTAAGAACTGGTAAGAGCATTCACTCTTAATTGATATTAATCTGATATCAATGTCGAAGGTATCATTCTCTGATGCTAGAAAACAAAAAAACAAAAATCAAATAAAATACAAGGCAAAAGAAAATGCAATATCACCCAATCTAATATCCACATGAAGTTCTACCATGTCCCACCCTTACTCTACTTCCCTTTTCTACTCTCATTTCTGACAAACGAATGCCCTCTGTCTCCCCACTAATCCTTGTCAGCTCGGTATACACTATAGACTGGCACCATCATTTCCATATTTGAACATAACACAATTTTTTACCAAGTAATTTATTTTATGCTGTTCAAGACTTCCAGGTTTACAAAATTTACAAGAAGAAAATGAAATCCCGGGTGGAAATGAGCCGGGCTAGGCTAGGCTTTAACTAAAATAGGCTTGGCCTTTTTTCCTGACTGAGTTTTTATATACGAAAAATGCTGGATATTCCAAAATCCACACATTGAATAATCCTCCAAGCTACTGAAAATTTAACATCTGGCGATTGATTTAATTTAATATATCAATTTTAAAGTTCGGAGGATAATTCGATGTTTAAGAGTCAGAGGCTGTAACATTCCTCTTTTTATACAGTCCTGACCTATCCCTTTTAACATTCTGCCTGGCTTACTAGGTCATGTAAAAGTTTGAAACATTAACAAATTGGCTGCTATTCTTAATTATCAGAATATCAGGTCATTCTTTCTCCTATTAATAATTAATCACCTATGACTCTTCAAATCAGCAAACCTTCATCCACTCCATTAAACTTCAGACCCTATGGGTGTATTTGGGAGTTGAGTTGGGTTTCAGTGGGGAAGCGTGGGGAGAGCAAATTTTTTACTATTACCAATATTAATGTTTGTAAAAATAGATACAAGACTAGGATATTAACTTTAAGCCATTCTGTTAATTTATTTTTCCATTTGAAAAAATATCAAATCAGATAATATTTATTAAAAATTGAAATTTACCCTCCCCTCCAAGACCCAACTTTCAAACACACTAAAGTAAAAGGATCAAAACAAAGAATACCCTTGGATAAGAATTACAGCTTCAGAAATCAAAAAATCTATTGTATCATTATGAAAGAATAAAAATAAATAACAAAGTGAACCAAGTCTGATTAAGAATGACATGCAATGAAGCACGTAGACTTCAGGATAATTTCAAAAGATCTATAAGTTTAACAAAGACACACCTTTTCTTTCCCTTCAACCATGATAACTTTGAATGGATGCCAATCTGGGTTCTTTAGATGCTCTTCCCACAATGAGCACAGTTCTGAAGCTTTTTCTTCAGCTTCCTCATTATATATTTTCTTCATTGCTTGAAGGAATGGTCTAGTGTCAAGTTCACCCATTCTCTTCAAACGAATATTGCCATGAGATGGTAACTCTTTAATGCCCTGCAAGTGAGAAAAAAGATTATTATTAAATCTAGAAAGCAATATTGGAAAGTAAAAAGTCCAAGAAAGCTTTAAGAATTGCAAATATTTTAAAAAATGACACCCACATTAAAAGTAATGAAAACATGTAAGCAGAGCATATGCACATAATCATAGTTAGGTCTCGTCTGCATAATCAAATGAACCATTTCAACATTTTGGGTATTATGAGTCTATTAGATGAAATAGAACTGATGAGATTTTAATTTTACTCGAGCCAATTTGCTACCTTGCTGTGAATCATAAATAAAAGTTAACAAAGAGTTAACCAAATAGAATAAAGAAAGAATGTAAAGCTCTTTTGAAAAAGTAAATTTGTAACTTATAAGATCATGTGTGCTTCAATCCATACAACACTTTAAATGGGCAAGTAAAATCACCAATAAAAACACTACCCCCACGAGCCATGTGAAAGAATAGTGACACTAGAATGGACCTCATTGAGATGCTCTTGCAAATTAATTTGAAGAATCAGCAAGAATATATATTTTCCAAAAAAAACATGCTTACATTAACCAATGCTTGTCGAGCTTCCTGCAGCTCATCATTACTCTCACGCTCTTTAATGATTAGAGTTTGGTTCAATTCATCTAAGTCTTCAAGTGATTGTTCCTTGTCTCTTAAATCCTTTTGTAAAGTATCTACCTTCTTCAGAACTTCTGCATCTTCATCATCTTTCATGTGCTTGAACACATTTAATGATCCTTTTAATTGCTGAATCTCCAACTCCAGCTCTTGTTTTGCATCAAGTTGTTTCTTAAGCATAATGATTTTAGCATGGAGTTGTTCTTTTTGCCTCTGTATAAATTGGTATTCAAATAGCATTAATACTATTACTAGGTCACTCTGCTGCTGATAAGGACACTTTTGGTTATTAATAAACTAAAAGATAGGTAATACATACCTTTTGATCTTCAGCCAGTTTCATAACATTTTCACCAGCTTTCATTTGCTCCAGAGAAGCCATCTGAACAGAGCTATTTTTTGTTGCATTCTGCAAATCCAATAAATGCCAGCAGTGTTTAACAAAGCCTTCCACTAGCTTTTTAAGCACATTATTATTTTAATGATTTCAGAGGCACAACAAAAACAGATAATGCAAAAAATTTGATTTACATAGTCCTTAAGCAAAATCCTTAATAGGAGTAAACAGAATAATGGAAAAACAAAACCCACAGCATGAAATTCTTTGGCACACACATTAACATGTTTTGGATTCAGAGCCTTCAACAGCATACACCTAAATAAAAGCCAGTTTCATCACATCTGCAGTATTACCAGAATTTGTTATACACATTCAATTGAAAATAATTTTCCAACCAATCATTTCACAATCATCAAACCCAATAAGTAAAAACAGTAAGTGATTGATCTTGGTAACTAAATCCGTCCTTGGAAGCACTGAATCATCAAAATATCAACCATAATAATCAATCAACCTACAAAAATAATATTATTTCTTCAATCTTAATTTAACAGGAATTTCCAATTGATGAAGGAGATGCAGAAAAATAAGAAAAACACTATACCTCTTTGATTTCTTCTGCCAACTTTTTTCTTTCACTTTCATTATGTGCATCACGCTTTTCCAATTCAATTTTCTGCAACTCAAGCTCGTTTTTCTGAGATTCCAGTTTCATTTTAAGCTTTTCATGATCAATAAAAATCCTTTTTAGGTGATCCCGAGCACTTGATTGTATTTTCTTTATCTCTGAACACAAGGAATCATAGCAAAAACCAATTTTTTTACAACAAAACAACACCATTTTGAAATAATAATCAATTGTAAAAATATCAAACTGAATTTCAGCACAATACTCTTAAGAAACTGATTTAGCAATGGCAAATCCTATGGTGCCAAACAACTACAATGATTCAAGCAGTATATAGCTATTTGGATGTAAGGTTCAATAAAAATAAATACCTTCATTATAAGCTTGAATGAGTTTATCTTTCTCCATCATAGCAAGGTTTATTTTGTTCGTAGTCTCATCGCATCTCACTTCAATCTCTTTTAAGTGCTGGTTCTTGACCTGAATAATGTTATTCAAATTTGATACAAGTTTATCCTGCTTTCGAGCTTCTTCTTCCATTAGCTCTGATATGGTTTTGATATCGCCCATCTTTTGCAGATGTTCTCCATAGATATTTTTCATTCCGTAATCATCTGCTCGGGCAACCCATGCATAAAGACCAGACTTCTGCTCAGAATTAGAAAACCAATGCTTTTTCCCATGATGATCTAATTCATATGTTCTTTCAAATGCCAAGGCATTATCCAAGCCTAGCCAGTCTTTATTGAATTCCACAAGAGCAGTTCCAGAAAAACCCCGGAAATTCCATAGAGGATTGACTCGAACTGGATTGAAACCCCTGCTTCTGTACTCATCCCTCAGCCTACTACCGCTCTCGCCAATACATCGTCCATCTTCTGTCCATCTAGTGGGAATATTAACTACAATTCCAATCCAAGGCCACACAAACTGTTCACCAGAATCAACAGAAGGATCACTTTCACCTGCCAGTTTTGAATCTTTTGATGGAACATCAACAGTCATGAGATCTTTCTCCAAATACTTCACTAAAGCCATATGATTAGCCTTGTCTCTTTTTTTTCTCTTTTGTGAACTACTCTGACCCACCCCAGAAGCATGTTGAACGAGATCCCTGTATAAATAATCTCGTTTTCTCTTTTTAGGACAGTACGGACAAGTGAAAGTCTCATCCGAGGTTTTCACATTCTGACTTCCATTCTTTAGTTCTTCATAAGCTTTATCTTCATACTCGTTAATTTCAGATTCACTAACATCAGTATCCTCGTCAGAGCTGCTGTGAACCATTACGGTTGCTCCTAGGCTCCTGAAAGACAAATTCAGGGTTAGAACTGACTGTTGTTCCATTGCTCCGCAGAAAAATTCCATTAAATATCACATTCAGAGCCTGGGAAAAGCATTAAACTCGAACAGAATTTCATTACAATCACTTCATCCAATCAAATCCTTTACTTGAAAAATAAGTAGAAGTTTCCTTAAAGATCAAGCATTAACACACGGCGTTGAACCATTGAAAACAAATAAATAAATACAGTGTAATAAAAAATAAAAATAAAAAGCAAAAAAGTATGAGAAACAAAACAATTTGATTAAGAGTCTGTTTGTATACACGTCAACAAAAGCTTCTAAATTCAGTTTCTGCTTAGATACATGTTTAAAAAACTCTGAGAGATTTTTTTTTTTATCGAAAATAAAGTTTTTTCTTCAAAAAAAGAAACACCGAAAAGCACATCTAACTTGTATACTAACACATTCTAAATAAAGAACATTTCCTCTAAAAGGTTTTTATCCACTCTAGCAAGATGCAATAACTTTCCAGCACTCAAAAAGGAGCATGCAATGCACATATTCAGCATTGAAACATTGAAGCATGGAAGCATACCAAATGCCTAGCCAAGTAGCCATGCATGCAAGTTGATACAAAATGCAATGCATGAGAGGAAACGATTGAATAAAAATGCACTATGCAGAGACAAATTTACCTGCAAATAATGGGAAGCTAAGATGACGATGACGGTGCTGTGATTTTTATTTTTGGGTTTGGGATTTCCTAAGGTAACAATTTGCGCCTGAAAATACTATAATACTAAGCACTACTCGCTACTCACCATTCCATTTCGCCTTGCGCACTACGTTACTTGTGGTGACGTGTAGATTTTTCATTGGAGCGTGAAGCGCGTGGCCTCAGGTTCGAGAGTGTGGAAGGTGAAGCGAATCACTATGAACAAAATGCGCCGTTGCCTTTCCCCCAGCACGAGAACGAGAAAGCCTAATTTTCTTAACATCACTCAAAATTAAATCATGTGTTTGTAAGAGAAATGTTACTATTACAGTCTTCTAATTACTCTAGTTATTTAGACAACACTTTTGTTGAATTTACTAATAGTTACCCAACTTTTTTTTTAAATCAAAAGTGCTCACAGAATGCAATTTTAATTAGTTAAATATTATTTTAGGATAGTGAACTTAAGTTATTTATCAAGGATAATATGAAATTTTGCCTATTAAAAATGATGAAAAAATAATGTTGTTACTTGGTAGCATTCATGAATCAAAATGTTTAGCTTTGCTATTTGAGGTGATATATATATATATATATAGGGGAATGTTAATATACTTCCACCTATTTTTTAATGGTAGTATGTTAGTAACCTATACCAAAATTTTAGGACAAAAAATCACTCATTTCTTTTGATTTGGTTAATTCGTACAAATGATATTATAGTAATTTAATTTAATTTTAAATAAAAATAAAATATTTTCTCTCTCTTATTAATTTCATTCTCTAAGTCATTTATTTTTTCTATTAATTAATTTTTATTTGTTCAGAAAGAGAGGGAGGAGACATCATGAGAGATGAGAGAGAAATGAGTTAAAGAAAGAATTTAATAGGAGAGAGATAATTAAGTTAGAGAAAGAATTTAATAGGAAAGAGAAATGAGTTGGAGAGGTAATTTAATAAAAAAATAAATAAATGAATTGGAGAATGAAATTAATAAGAGAGAGAAAATATTTTATTTTCATTTAAAATTAAATTAAATTATTATAATATTCTTTGTACGAATTAACCAAATCAAAATAAATGAGTGGTTTGTTTGTCATAAAATTTTGGTGTAGATTGCTAACATACTCCCATTAAAAAATAGGTGGGAGTATATTAGCATTCCCCTATATATATATATTATTTTTAATTCGAAACTCACCTCCAAAATTTAAAATTTACATAAAATTTATCAATGAATTTTAAAATTTGTAGCAATATTTACCTATAGATTTTTCTACAAAATTCCTATTCACAAGAAATTTACTACAATTTTTTTTGGGAATTATTTTTGGCAAAAAAATTTCTTGCAATTTTTTTTTCAAAAAAGTTACTTATGAAAAAAAATTTATAAGAAAATTCACAATAATCAATTAGGATAAAAAAATTATAATTTTATAATTTATCCACAAGAATCATATGGTTTTGACAGTTTTATGGATGAATTAGTTTTTTTAAATAAAAAAAATATATTATAAATTGATAATTCTATCATATATTTGATGAATCTATTTGAGTTGCAAATTTAGCCCACATCCAATTTTCATGTTGCAAGATTTATTTTGAATTTTTGATATATATATATATATATAAGGAGAGATTCTTTTATTCCAATGGCAAAAAAAGTTCTTGCAATTTTTTTTTCAAAAAAAGTTACTTGCGAAAAAAATTTATAAGAAAATTCACAATAATCAATTAAGATAAAAAAAAAATATATTTTTATAATTTATCCACAATTATCATATGGTTTTGACAGTTTTATGGATGAATTAGTTTTTTTAGTGTATGTACTAAAAAAAAATTGAAATAATTAATATTTTTATGAGTTAAAACTAATTTATGTATAAGTTAAAAATAAAATTTTTAGAAGTTAATAAAAGAGAGTCTCTTTAAAATAACTTATCCATAAATTAATTATAATAATTTATTAAATTTTCTCTCTCTCTTAAATATTTTTAAAAAAATTTATAAAAGCAAACTATTAGTTCTAAAAAAAAATCAATAGCAAAGGTTTGATCTTGTGTTTCTAGTCAACATCATCAACTCTATACAGCGGAGATCGTAATTAATTATGTTTTACTGCTATATTTATTAGTTAATTTAGTGTTTATATATATATATATATATATATGAGGAGAGATCCTTTTATTGCAATAGTAAGTCTATCTAGACTTACTCTGTTCAATAACTCATGTTCTACATCAAATTTTAATAATTCAGCCGTTCAATTTAAAGTTTTTAATGTGTAGATCAAATCTGTAAATTTTTAGAAAATTTAAAAATTATTTGATACTTCATTTCATTAATTCAAATCAATGTATAAAATAATTTTATGATTATCCGTCAATTTGAATTAATGAAATGAAGTATCAAATGATCTTCAAATTTTCTAAATATTTGCATATTTGATCTATGCATTATGAACTTTAAATTGAACGGTTGGATTGTTGAAGTTTGATGTAGAACATGAATTATTGAACGGAGTAAGTTTAGGTAAACTTACTCTTGGAGTAAAAGGATCCCTCATATATATATATATATAGAGGAGGGTTCAAACGACACCGGTGTAACTTTTACTAAGTGTTACACCGCTTAATAACTTTATATTAAATGTGAATTTTGAAAATCCAACCGTTAGATTGAAAGTTCATATCTCTTAGATTATATATGTCAAATTTTGTTAAAATTGAACAACAATTTGAAGGTAATCAAAATGTTCATATTTTAGTATATTTTAAAATGTATATATTACGTCAGTTTTATTTTATGAGAATGAAATATCAAATCATCTTCGATTACTATAAAATTTTGTGTATATGATCTAAGAGATATGAACTTTCAATCTAACGATTAGATTTACAAAATTCACATTTAATATAAAGTTATTAAGCGGTGTAACACTTAGTAAAAATTACACCGGTGTCGTTTGAACCCTCCTCATATATATATATATATATACACACATTAGTTAAAACATATAATTTAGATTAGTTTGCCTTAAAATTTGACATAAGTTTCGATATTTCAAGCGACATTTCAAAATGGAAAGAGAGAATTATTGTCTAGTTGGGATGGATGGACATAGACTATGCTATTAAGAAAAAAGAATCATTGTCAATCACTATAGAAAGTGATCAAGATGATATTACGCTATATGAACGACAAGAGCAATTCAATCGACTTAAGTTATGTTTATTAAACCTAAAATCTCAATTGGAATATGTGGTTATGTCGATCAACATGAAAATGTTCAAGACTTGCTTAGAGTCATTGATGACAAACTTGTTGGTTTTGATAAGGCATTAGTAAGCACCCTAATCATGAAGTTCTCTTCCCTTAGGCTCGCCAAAATGAAATGTGTGTGAGCATATAATGCAAATGTGTGATATTTCAGCTCAACTTTTCTTGAGGTTGATATATCTGAGTTTTTTCTTATGCATTACATTTTGAACATCCTTTTGCTAGAATATGGACCTTTGAAGATTTCCTACAACACACATAAAGACAAATAGTTAAATAATGAGTTAACGACCATGTGTGTTTAGGACGAAGAAAGGTTGTAATAGAGTTGGGTGAGAGTGTCTTTCTAGCAACTACACGAGGAAAGAACAAAGTTGTTAATGTTGAAAAATCTCAAACCAACCAAAAAGATAATGGTAGATACCACCTCAAGTTGATACTAAAAAAGAAGCAAGGTGTTTCTTTTGTAAAAGAAAAGACACATGAAGAAAAATTATCTTAAATTTTAGAAATGATTTGAGAAAAAGTGTAATTCGATCTCATTTGTTTGTCATGAATCTAATATGATTGATGTTAATATTAACACCTAGTGGATTAATTCTGGATCTACAATCCATGTTGTCAACTCTTTATAGGGTATGCAAAATCTAAGAAAACAAGTGGGAAGTGGACAAAACATCTTATCAAGAAACAAGATGAGCTCAACTGTGGAAGCTGTTGGAACTTAACATTAACTTTGAATAATAGTTTTATTTTGAAATTAGAAAGGACTTTCTATGTACCAAATTTTTCTCAAAACTTGATTTCTATTTCTAGACTCATACCATTTGGATATTTCTTTTGTTTCAAGGACAGATATAGCTTATATTATAATAATGAATTTGTTGGGAATGTATGATGGTATTTATCATCTTTGTTTGTAAAATGAAGCCACTAATTAATAGTTCAATGTAGGTTCACACTGGTGTTAAGTGGTGTAATATTAATGAGAATTTCTCTATTTTGTAGCATTAAAGATTAGGACATATCTTCATAGAGAGAATTAAAAGGTCGATAGAAGATAGAGTGCTTAATACTCTTGATTTTACTAACTTTAAGACTTGTCTGGATTGCATTAAGGGAAAACAAAACAATATGTCTAAGAAAGGTGCTACAAGGAGTTCAAACATATTAGAAATAATTCATACCAGTATATGTTGTTCATATATGGATGCACATAGTAAAAAATACTTCAACTTTATAGATGATTACTATGTATGTTTATTTGCTTCATAATAAAAATGAAGCATTGGATGCCTTTAAAGTCTTTAAGGCTG